CAGTGAGATTATGGGCTTATCAGATTATACTGACATGGTCACACCACTGAGAATGTGATGCAAAGGCAGCGGAATAAAGGGACCCATGATAATGTGATTTAAATGAGTATTTGGTCAGGTTTGAGTTTACTGACGGCGCTGCAGATGTCCCTGGGCGAGTATTGCTGACTCTACACGTTTTTGGTTATGCGGGTGAGAAAAACACTCGGGTATCGCATATGTTGAAGCTAGACACAGCCTGGCTTATCACCCTGCCAGCAGTTTACACTTTTAAAGCTGTGCAGTGACATGATACAAGCAGGGAAGGGTAATGATTGGACACACACTGGCCAGCTACACCACCAACATTAATTTAGTCTATAAAACAAGCTCATTATGCTGTTATTATAATCAAGCCGTCGTCACCTTTTTGTTATTTCTAAGAAAAGCTGTGTTAAGTTGGACCTTTTCATAACTAAAAGACAAATCAAGCCATATTGTCTTTTTATTCTGCCCACTGAATTGTTTGTAATCCTTAGAACTGAAGACTCAGCATGAGTTTATTCATTAGCTTCACGGGCAGTGGAGTTAGCCTCTAATAATGTGCTGTGCCTCTCTGTTCTCCTTGATAAGATTTAGAACCTGCTGGTTCCTATTCTAGCCAACAAATCAGGGGAGCCGCAGCAGAAAAGAAAAGTGAATGTAATTAACTCAGTAACAGGTTATAAAGTGGTGTTACAGTGAGCCATGAAAGAGGCTGCAGCGATAAGCGCTAATCCTGATAAGAAGCCCTAAAATAGGTTAAAAACATGTTTCTAATGGCATAATGTGGAGAACATGACATTTTACTGCATATTGTTAAATGCTAAATGCTTCTTCTTCTCTCCTTAATGTAAAAGTTGTGACAAATTGCAGATTTTTATAGAATTAAAACAAATCCCCCCAAAAATGAGGATAAATTCGTTTTCAATCACTTCAAATAAAGGACATAATTAATACTACTTTCAAGTAGACCTTCACTGTTGTGAAATGACATTGTGGTCCCCTATTAATGTGGATTTGATGCAATATTTGGGATGCCATTATGTTTGTAAACCATGCATTAGAAAAAAATGACCAAAATGGTAGGAGGGATGAAGAACTGAATCTGAATACTGCAACATCCCCAGAGTAGCAGCATCACACTGTAGGGAAAGCTTTCCTCTGCAAAGACAGGGAAGCTGGTTGGAGTTGATGGGAAGATGTATGAAGATCAATAAAATTGAAATGAAATAGAAATACTTGTATTGTCCTAAAGTGGAGACATTTAGGAAATACTGTATGTGGCAGTCCTGGAATGAAGCCTATTAGAGGCTGCAAAAAACTTAAAAACATTTTAAATAATGGCATTTTAAATAATAACATCGAAGTACAGCAATAATAATCATGCATAACTTTCTGAATGTGACGGGCGCCGCCAATTTTAATTTGCTTGATTCCCTCCTTCTTTGTCTTCTTCTTCTTGTGTTTTATGGTGGTTGGCAAACAACTTTTGTTGCATTACCACCACCAACTGCTTGATTTCCTCCTTCAATACTGGCAGTAATACTGCAGATGTTCACTGGGAGGCGAGGAGTTGAGGAACCGAGATAGCGTGATGTTTAAACGGTCGTCAGAACCGAGCTCGGCCTGGTTAACTGATCCGAGCTCGGACCGGTCTCGGCATGGATCGGTTTTTCAAGGGTATTGTAAATGGGGTAATAAGCTGGAGCTTATTTTAAAGATGTCTCTGTCCATTGTCTAGAGATGTGAGTTTGGCAGAAAGAAAATGAACCTTAACTGCAGCAAAGCACAGCTTTACAAACTACTTTGTGTTGATCTATTTTATTAAAACCTAATAAACACACTTAAGTTCATTAGATTAATATGAAGAACATCTAAAGTAGTCAATATTGAACCAATGTATACCATTTATTTAGAGATCCTCCATTCAAAGAGTCCTCTACAGATGATAATTTAACACTATTAAATGCTTTTATCATGTTTTTTTCTTTACTTGCTTTTATTCTGTTTTATTTTCCTTCAATTGTACTGTTTAATTAGTTAGTTAGCTGTCTGAATGAACTAGTTTTAACCACTGTCAATTGTCCCTGTACTGAATCGTGTAATACAAATAAACTCGCCTTCCCCTGCCGTTCTAAAGTAGAGGCTGCTGTGGATAATTTAGCTGTAGTGTGGACACAGCTGAGAAGAAACTAAGAGTAAAGCTTTAAATAAGAAAAGAAAAAAAGAATAAACCTGATGTATCAAAGGTCCAACTTTAAATTCAAATAGTAAAACTCAACATGTTTGTGTCAAGCCTGATGTGTTTTGTTCCATATATAACAGGAAAACATGCTGCCAGGCTGCTGTAAGGACTGAGTCTTCCTAATTTGAACTCTGTGACCAGCTGCACATGTTTTCTGGTACATTCTGTTAAAAGCCAAATCGATAGGACAGCATCAGCCAAGGCAGAATGACGCATGAACTTGGTGTCTGTTGGTAACAAGGATGGTGCAGAATAAAGCTTGCTCATGACTATACATCCTTGGCTTATGTTAACATTTCCATTTTACTTTAAAAAAAATAATCCTCTAGTGCTGCTGAATCGACATGCTAATTTTATTATAGATGGCCACGCTATCTTGCTGTGAACACTGAAATAAATGTAAGCCTTAAAAAACCAAACTACCATGGTCAACATTATTGGTCCCTCTTAGGATCTGACCTTTTTAAAAACCTGCTGTTCTGTGATTTGCTTCAACTTTCTAATACTCAAAGCTCTCAAAAGCACAGCTAAGGAGTTTTTCTTAAAACTTACACTTAGTATAAAAACCTCAGTGAGGGTTTGGACAGCCACTTGAGAAATGATCAAATAAAAAAAGACAATCAGTTCAGACTTCTTAACAACGATGAGGGAGATTTAAAAATGCAAGGAGTGCCACACAGCACACTGTACAAGTCTGATAAAAGTAGGAAGCAAAATAGTTGAAATACCCCCAATGAAAATAATAAAGATATCTTTAAAGACCCCAAAATGACAAACAGAAACCCAAGAGATGATTTACTGAATGATCACTGAAAGGTTTTTATTTTCTTCTTTTTTTGTGGATTAATGTGACTTCTATGGTTAGAGGGAAATGCTGCAAGCATCCACCTGGAATGTGTGAATAGGTTTCAACAAGTACATATTCCTACATGGTTTGACCGAGTATTTCTGTTGGCTGTCCGATTTTTCTTTATACTTGAAGCAGCACTGTCTAAGTTTTGACCTAAGTGTTAGCTTAATTTGAGATGTATTCAATTATGTTTCAGCTTTAATATACAGCAATTGGTGCATTTTATTACTGTGTACAGACAGCTTTATGGCAGTCTGGGCCCCCCTTAAACACAAGAGTTAAAAAAGGTAAAAGTTGTTGTTAGACACTTACCTGATCAGACATGTATCTGGTTCTCTGATGTAGGATTTAATATAGTGGATGCTACCTTGTCTTTACCAATACCTCCATGACTTCTCTATGTGCTGGTTTAAAGAGGTCTGCTATCACATGCATCCCCAACCTCGGTCCTCGAGGGCCGCTGTCCTGCAGGTTTTCGAGGTTTCCTTGCTCCAGCACAGCTGATTTTAATTGAAAGCTGATTAACAGTCTTTTGATCTACTGCAATCATTATAATCAGCTGTGCTAAAGCAGGGAAACCCAGGAAAATCCTTTGCCCAGAAACAATTTTTACTTGCCCAGTATAATGTTTGATAAACATAGTTCCTAATATTCATTTTTGTATATATGTATATATATATATATATATATATATATATATATATATATATATATATATATATATATATACATTAATGAAACATGTTTGTTTTTTAAATGTTTTTTGTAATTCAGTATTTTTTAAGTTTACAGGTTCCTGGTGTGTATATGCATGCGTCAGATAAAGAACTCAAGCCTACATTACCGTGTTAACATGCTTTTCAACCCTTCCTGCACATTCTTTTCAAACTAAACTTTGCTTTAAACTGTTGTGTGCTTGGAAAAATATAAATTGTAATGTTAAAAAAATCTAAAAAAAAAAATTGACAGGTTAAAAACTTAAGATAAATCACAAAACAGAAGTCAATGTCACAAATAAATAACTTTTATTTTAGAGTCACGGTATGTTTATACAAGATAATACTATTAATATAATGTGACTTTTCTAGAGAATCATTATACATAGTTATTTTATACAGGGTTTCCACAGTCTTACATAATTTCAGAATTCCCTGACTTTTAACTGACTCAGGATTAGTTTTATCCGACAAAATAAATGCAGCAACAAGAGAATAATAATAACATAACAGGTCACCAATTTAACATGTTTAGCTCTATAACATTTAAATGCACCTCTCCAATGTCCAAGAGAAAAAAATTGAATGAACATTTTTTAATGTACGACCTGCATCACTGTACAGAAGACTGCCATATGATAGCGTTTTCTAGCTTCTTTGTCGTTTTGGTAACTACATCAAAATTACCGCTAGGTGGACAAAAATCTCGCCATCTGGCGGAAAATCACTGGGCTTTTTCAAATCACGCGAGAATGTGTACAAAACAACAAAAATGGCGCCGGCAACACTTATTGGTCTTTTCATCGAATGTCGATGATTTTAAAGTAATTTTGAGTGATAAATACATTTTTTTTTTTTTTGCGATCATTGCAGCATTTATTTTTCCGCTTGGTCCTAGTGCTTGACGATTTTGTGTGTACTGTAACGTAACATTGTTGGCTATTGGTAGAATTTGGTGGTATAAATTGTTTTACTGTTAGGTGATATCTGAGCTACAATCACATGCAGTAGTTACAAATCCTGTTATCTGAAGGGTTTAGTTGAATTATTCAACTGTTGCATCGTTGCACCTTTTCCAGCCATTGTGTTAAAAAGATGAATCCATTTTAGTGCATTTGACACTGCAGTTCAGTCATGTTCATAAGCTCTTCTCTCCTCTGTCTTTCAGCCAATAAGAGCCTGCTCGGAGGGGGCGGAGGTGAGTACCAACCTGTCTGATTATTCATTTTACAGCACGAGTAGAATGCAAAGATATCAGCAGTTGTTCACCGTATAGTCTCACCATAAATATTGACCAAAGCATTTCTATCAACAACGAAGCCCTTTAAAATCTCTAGTTTCCTGCTTTCCTCCCATACTGTAAATGTGTTTTATGGGGGGAATCTTTCTTAGTTTTTTGGTAACAGGGAGGTCTTTGTTGTTGCAGGTGTTCACAATGCTTCAGCATGCTGCTCAGCATGCCTCTGTCTGCTTGTTTTCTGCCTCCATGTCGCTTTGCACAGGTGCACAGTCAATAGTTCATAATTTATTGTGTTGGAGTGCTGCAGATATAAACAGTCATTTTTCTACGTATTGTTGACTCAGTGCTTTGCAACACAAGCGTGATGTTGAGTCGTCCATGGTTAATCAATATTTGTAATAAATCCACACTACTAATGCAGTGGCTGCATCCGCTATGAACACACACACACACACCATATACACAGTCTGCTGTGGATGTGTTTGTGAATTTTTGGGTTTGCAAATGTGGGCAGTGAGCATTTGCCTGTGGTTGTTTTCTTTGTCTTTGTTCGCTCAAACAGCTTCAGCCTCTCTCACCCATCCACTCGCTCCACCATGCTGCCGTTTGTACACCTCCAATTAGTTTCTTTGTGTTGCTGGATGTATTTTCGGCCCCTGTAGTGAACTACTTATGACACACCAGTCTACCCGTCTCTCTGAGTGTTCATTTATCAGAGTGCACAGGCCCTTTTGCTTAGCTAAAAATGATCCGTTGAAGTCCTCATCCTCACAAATGCTCCACCCTGACTCATAAGCACGAATCAGAATGGGGAACTCACTTATATCCCCTCATGGCCAGCAGGACAGCAGTGAAGCACCTCGAGATCTCTAGCAGAGTTGGATGTTGTCCTCAGGTCTCTGGTGGATCTGAAGAGACAGATGGTTTATGGGGAGTTGTTAAATTTGTGTCTTCATCCGACTGCTGCTTTAGCATCTGTGTAGGATTTCAGGTATCTTGCTATTTGTTTCTAGATTTTTTTGTTGCTTTTTTTTTGCAGTTTGTCAGATTTTTCAGGTCATCAGGTAAAGTTAACCTGAATAGGTAATATATAATCATGTTTTCATTTATTATGAGAAAAGCTGCCTTGTCTCTGTTTGAGTGAGCTGGTAATTACTCCTAAACCTGATAAAAGACTATACCTAAGCTTTCATTTCAAAAGTTCACAAAAACTAGGTCAATATTTTTCTGTAGTGCTGCATATCAATTATCTGTCAATTATTTTACAATTAATTGATTAAAAATTGGATAGCCAAAGCTTCCTCAATAACTTGATGACTTTTTATGAAAAGAAACCAGGGAAAACTTCAACTTTTCTACTTGACCAGTTCTAGATAGAGCACATTGACAGATGAAAAAGTTATTTTTACATGAAAATGTTTTATTTATTTAATTTTTTTTTACAATTTTGCTATAATTGCAACTCTAAGTGGGTCACTCTGTCAGCTAAAGGCATGTTTTAGAGTCTCTATACTCCAGTTAACGATTAGTCGATTACTAAATTAGTGGAGGATTATTTTATTAATCGATTTATCACTATTAATACAAATGTTTTCAGTCCTATTTTGCTAATCTCAAAATGAAAACTTTTGTAGTCGTGCTATTTCCATTAAATAAAAAATACAACTTGAATTGCATGTGCGAAGGTTTCTTTACATGATCTTTATCTTTTTACAAGAGAGTAAGGTTTAGTTGCAGATCGCGTGACTCGGGTGACACAAAAATAAGTGTTTCTGTTGCAATTTTTACGAAATACAAGAATTTCCTTTTGATAAAAAAAAAACAAAAAAAAACACCTAATTGAAGTGTAAAAACATTTTCCTATACGACAGCTTATTTTAGGAGTAATTTTGGTAAGCCAGTAACTTCTGGGAAGATTCACTACTGTCAGTCCTCTTTGGTAGATTGGGTGATGGTTTTCTGGGAATCTGTGGAGTCCAGGCAGTAAAATGTCATCAATTACCTTCTTCATACTGATGGAGCTCAATCATTTTAATTTGTATTCTTTTTAATGATGGTTAAAGCAGGAAATTGTGCTTTTTTTTAGGTGTTTTAATTCATTTTGTCATTCCGGTTTCCATAAAGGATCTCTTGAGGTCTGGCTTGGGTGTGGTCAGTGAAATTCAAGTTCTTAAAACTTTAGTCAGTCAGTTACGCCACAGCAAAGATGGTGATTGGAGATGGAAGCTCCGACTGCAGTTGCAAAAAGGTAGCAAAGACTTCAGATTAAATTTAGGCCTGTGCTATAAATACTAGAGACCTAATTTGGTATATTGGTCAAAGAATTGAACCTTCATAACAACTGCAACGGAGCACATGTTTCACTGTGACAAGAAAGGCTTGATTATTAGCCACTGATGTGTGTGTATTATAAGGGTGTTAATGACTCACAACAATCCATTCATGTCAGCTGCAGCTTCACAATAATGACCATATAAATGCCTCTCCTAATGATCGCTTTATTAAATGACTTAAATCATTTAGGAAACGATTTCTTCCTGTTTAAGTGGCTCTAGAATTATGCAGATAAATCAGCACTAAAATATCAAAACACAAGCGCTTCCTGTTCCACTTATTGATAGAAATATCCATCATAAAAAGGTTGATATTTTTTCATGAGTCATTTCAGGAAGGGTGACTCATCATAAGTACATACATGTCGGATGCAGTGAAATATTTCAGGCCTTTAAATATTGTAATCTTTTGAAGGATTTGGTTTGGTAATAATGTAATCCTGAGAGATGAATGTTAGGTTTTCATTAGTAATCACCATCACAATCAAAATTTCTGTAACTAAGAGCTTGACATATTTTTTTCTTTGTTTAGAAAGTATATAATTTAATAATTTGTTTTTAACTTTTTTAAATGGATGTAAAAAAGAAAATTTTATGATATTCCATGTTTTATTTTTAGATTTGTCTGTATGTACCTGCTACCATTTGCCTTATTCGTTATGTTTTAGTCTATGTCTTGCAATATACTATCTTCAATATTCTGAAATTAGGAATAAAAAAAGAGGTTTTAGAATTTTATTTCCTAATATTGGGAACATAACCTTCAGCTCAGAGTGAGAAGAAAACCTTCCAATCTGTATTTAGTAAAATGTCTAGTAAAAGAGTAAACTGTTGATGGGGAATAACAAGAGTTAATGTAGCTTAGTTATCAGAAAGACAAAAATATACTTTGATATTTTTTTACCAAAAAATTCAACATCTTTTTTTTTTGTCTTTTTAATACTTTTCTTAGAACAAAAATCTGCATTAAATTGAAAATAGAGCAAATAAAAAAAAACCAAAACAAAACAAAAAAGCTGTGTTTTTGGTAGTAAATGAGTTATTAGATTAATAGAGGTTTACCCTCATTTTCCAAACCTACATCGATCCAGGGTCAGAGGTCATCTGGACAGTGGTGGCTGGCCAATAGAGGGCGCTAGGGTGCAGCCCCACACCCAGTGACCCTGATAAGTTGTAATAAAAAATTTTTTTTATAGTTTTTCTTATAATTTAATTTTAAATAAAAATGTAAAATATCTAAAAGAAAAAAAAAATATATATATAAAGGATAAATATTAAATTTTTAATTACTAGTAAAGCCACAATCCATTTTTCGTTGGATTGGGGACGTATTTCCGCCCAGGGCGCCAAAATCTCTGCCTATAGATTCTGGTTAAAATTTGTACATGCGCAGAAGCTGCTCTGCAATACAAAGGTATAGGACAGCTTAGGCCGCAGCTCTGGTGCGCCCCAAGCTGACAGGAAGTGTATTTGTTCACCGCCTCCTGTCACAGCGCAGACGTTATGCAGGTGATTGACAGGTCAAGTCACGGGGGTTGGAGACACATTGGAGAAACAGAGAGAGAGAAATGGTGCAAGAAATGTCCTTTTCTATCAGCTGGTTTAACAAGAAGGCTTGGTTAGCCTTTTTTAATCCCCAGGATAAAGACAGGTAGGACTGATTTAAAACACTTTGTAGAAAAGGCAAAGAAGAATGAATGATCCAGGATTCACATGGAAAATGATATAAATAATATAATAAAGTATTAATAAAGTACTTTTTCTAGATGTTTGTTTATTTGCATAGTTGCTCATAAATAAACACATTGTCAAAAAAATAAATCGTTTTTATATATTAAGAAAACATGAAGCTGACTAATAGATTCTCCTTTATTAAACTGGTACATTATTTTTTTAGGTTCATATTGGACCATGCAAAACACAGATTTGCCTTCACAAAGCCTCAGAAGGGCAAGATTTATATACAAGAAGTAAACCTATTCATGAAATTCTGTCTTGTTTAAAAAAAAAAGTGTTTTTATGATGTTTTTTTGTTGTTGGCATTCATATAAATGTACTGGTGTGATAACTTAGTATAGGTTTGACTGGTCTTTGGTATATGTCTATTTTGAATTTATGGCCCCTCCTGGAGAAAACTCCACCAGCCGTCACTGCCTCTGGATATTATGGATTTGATGAGAAAATATCTATTTCAGACATTAGAGAATTAATGACTTGCACTTGCCTTCTGCCATAGGTTTCTTTTTCTTAAAGGAGAGTTTTTTTGTTGTTTTTAATCCACCATCCTTAAATGCTTGCTTGTTGTGAGGAACTGCTGCAAAGTTAACGTCACACTACAAACGAATGTCTGCTGTGGCTACAGGAGAGAGTAGAGAATGCTACAGGTCAATGACTTGATGCAATCTTCTGGGTTTCCTTATTGAGAGATGCTAAACATTAGAACCAATCTTTGAGTGTAATTTGATTGAAGTGGCTCTGTAAAGGTTCCTGAGGTGAAGATGTAAATTGGCTCAAAATAAACTGAACTGGTTAAAAGCTGAACTGACTTTGAATGACTCTGATTCATAACAAAAGAGTTTTTTTAGGCAACCTATGCTTGCATAGATCTGTTTCTTTAAAACAAAT